AAAATTTTTAAACAGTGTGCATAAATAAATTTAATTGCCTGAATAGCTCTGTTCCTCATGGCCTTAACCATGGAAGAAACATTGTAATATTATAATACAAGATATTGGTTAATAAAAATTATTATTATTATTATTATTATTATTGTATAATAATTTATTTGCATTAAATTAGTTTTCATTTAAAAATAAAACTTAATCATATAATATTTCTTTGATTATTAAAAACTCAAAATTTTTATTCGTGAAAAATAGAATATTGTTGTCTTATGTGAAATAGCTATTAAGGTGTCCACCAAGAAAAAAAAGAAGGAAAACGTGGTCTATGGGTAAAAATGTTTGAGAGGCACTGACTTACTTATACCAGAGTCTAAGCAGTATTGTAACCTGCGCTTAATCCATCATAAAAAAGATAGTTTCGCCCAACACCGCAAATTGGTACTAAACTAAAAAAAACAATTTCAAACCTCGAGTGATGTGATTGAATAGCCTCGTCAGATCGAGACATTTATATAGATGCCATGCGTGGTGGTAAATTAGAAATATCTAAAGTGTCAGCTGTATACAAAGGACTCCTAATATCAATGGTTAAAAAGGAGCTATGAACGAGGAAAATCTAAAGGTCTTGGCATAGATCTTCCATCTTTGAACATTGTGAACTAGCGCCACAGAATCTCAAAGAACTGTACCAAATAACAGAAGCCACATCACCTGAGGTCTACCAACAGCAGCAACAACAAAAAACAATGTAAATCGAAGAGAAAAAATCTAATGGACAATTTTGCTGTTACACCTGGTAACGTTTGTTCGTGCGTTGAGGATGTGTGCAAATATTCGTAAATCGGAGACATTTAATTTATCATTGATACATACATGTAAATGTTATACATCTTGAACAACTTGGGCACTTCGATGTGGTGTAATCGTTAGCAAGCTTGTCTTGCTAGATCAATTAGACATGGCACGTGAAACTAGAAAAGTAAGGTGAAATAATGGGTTCAGTTCGACATCCCAACCACCTGAAGAAGGCCGGAGCGTACAACGGCCGAAAGGTTGTCATAAATATGGGGACACAGATGACGAAAATACCCCGAAAAATATAAATAATGTACAGCTATGATTGAGTAGTGAGTTCGATCAACACTTTCGACCTTGTGCCACATCTAAATCATTGGGCACCTCGAGGCGGTGTAATGGTTAGCATGTCTCGCTAGAACAGTTACGAATGAGTAGTGAATTCGATCCTCACTATGTGACCCCTATTTTCTGCCTTGTGCCACATCTAAGCTACGCTTGGAAAATCACTATATCTTGAAAAACTTAGCGGCCCATGCTTCATGAAGGTAACTTTATTGCTGCAAATACCAACATATTAACCTCGTGTTCTTAAAAAAACCTCGTTAGTTCGAGGTTTTCCCATGGATATCATGAATGACACCAAACCCTCTCAAAATATCTAAACTTTGAGCTTAATGGAATCGCTTTCTTAGATTAATGTTTAAAATAGCTTCGAGCTAATAAAGATTTTAGTGAGGACCATTGTTCTTCGAATCTTGTGGACTGTTTCTACAGAATTAGAAAGAATTATAACAAGTAACAAAAACAACTGAGGACTTTCGACGACGCAAACAACTAAAATGGAAATGACATGTAATTCGAAGAGAAAATAATAGCTAAATGAATATGTTGATTCTCAAACTTTCTTCAACCAAAGGATTAAGAATAAAGCCCCATCGAATTTGTATGAGAGATAATAGTTGATTTGAGTATCTTACTTTGCTGAATATTGCTTTAAGACAAAGATATTGTAATTTTCAACCGAGAGTAGCACTGTCTGCTCGATCAACGTATCCCGAGTGTTTCCTTAAAAGGAAACAGCTGATATTATCATCATACTTATTATAAAACCCAGGTTGTGTGTGTGCGTGTGTGTGTGTGTGTGTGTGTGTACGTTTATATATTGGATCGGATTTCCTACATTTTTCAACAGATTTCAAAAAAACTTCACAGGACTATCTAAAATTACCTTGCAGTGGTTCTGGCAGCGCCAGAAATTGGAAAAAAAAATTGTTTTTGCACAAAATCAATTTGAAAACACGATTAAGAGGCATCGCGAGAATGAAAGAGGGACAACTCATATCGAGTTATACTTATTATAAAACCCAGGTTGTTTGTGTGTGTGTGTGTTCGTTTATATATGGGATCGGATTTCCTACATTTTTCAACCGATTTCAAGAAAATTTCACTTTTTTTTGGCAGGTAGTATTTCTTATTCTCTTGCACACTTTTTTCTTTATTTTTACATTCAGAATGCTTTAAAAATTCAATTTACAATCGGTAGACTCATAACGATTGAAAACAATGTTTTTGTTTGAGTATGGGTTTGACCAATTCGTAAAAAAAAAAAAAAAACTAATTAAGACATGCGCGTCCGTCAACCTGAAACAATAATCGTTGTCAATTTTATTTTTCAGTCTTTATGATAGTCAATACTTGATCTATCTCTTACTGTTACATCCCCGGGCAACGCCGGGCTCTACCGCTAGTTACTAATAACAATTTACAAATTCAGCTTATAAAATCATAATTTAAGAAATGCTATTTAATTGTAATACTATCTTCAGTTATCTTTATATATAAGGAATTATTTTGTTATTTTATAAAGTACAAATTATATGTTGTGTGTCACTTTTGGACATGAACGATCAGAGTTCATAACGATTTCCTATTCTATGTACCGTTGTGGCACCATTTACCAAGGCAGAAAAAGAAAAGAAAGGAAAGAAAGGAAAAGAGAGGCGAAGACCCAAAGTGTGGATGATAAGCAGAACGCCCACGGCTAAGAGACAATGGATAAAGGATATTTTGATAAATAACAAATGGCGAAGAGTGTCATTACAATGAAAAAAAATTCTGAGTGGATAAAGGAATCGAGTGTGTTCTGACGACGGGCTGTGTTATTGGGATACATAAACAAACCGCTAATGCGGGAAGGCATCTGATTGGCAAACCACAGACCGACTAGCCAAAGAAAAATCCAAATGAAAATGTTATTTTGATAAGTGACGGAAAACAGGTGGACTACAGGGCTTTGGATAGATATGAAAAATTAATTGTGTCAAAAGCCGCACACGAGGTGGCCACTGACCGATTTATTTCGACAGAACATCTTTAGCCTGCGATAATAAAACTATGTTATCAGAAATGTGTACCGAAAAAATGAATGGGAACCTAGAAATGTTCTTTTCGAGGCGACGGTCTGGCCGTGTTAAAAAGCCACCCATTCTGATAATTAGCGATAAGATGACTGACGAAGCCCAGGTGAGAACAAGAGTTATGACCACCATTGATCGTATTGTTCTGTTTGCGGCTAGAGAAAATGATAACTGCGATTAAAAGAAAGAAAAGGAAAAGAAAAAGATAATTTTTTTTTGTTAAGCAAGATATTTTTTTTTCCTGAAACAAAGCCGCAGGATCGTACACGCCCGACTAGACATCATTGGTCGAGTGGTGATCACGTGACGCACGGAGGAGGCTGTCACCGCCCATCTACAGGATGGGTATGAGAGGTTGCTACGAAGAAGTGGGGAGGGCAGTTCACACCCCTCTGAAGTATGGTGAGAAGGTGGGAGAAAGAGAAGGCTCCCAAAAATGGAAAAAAGTGGAAAATTCCTAACCAGAAATAAAAGAGGTGGATATGTATTTAGAATTATCGAGGACCCCCCCGGCGCCGACAAACCCACCCCGGTTTTGGTCGGCGTCCATATAAGCGAAGTCACAGCGAGCAGAAAGGATTTCGAGTCAGAGTTTCAGTTCCAGTTCCAGCAGAGAGCTCGAAGTTCGCAGTGGAAGTTGGTTCCACCTCGCAGACAGCTGACTTGAAAGATTCACGCAAATTCCGGACTCCTCTTCAATCCAAGAACAATTAATTTGAAGAGCGACTTAGATCCAGACCACTAAGATAAGTTTTTTTTCGACTTTCGCCCGAAGACACACCGAAAAACCCATTTCTTAAAGAGCAACAACTTGAAGCGTTAAAACACGCCTAACGGAAAACATCGTGTCACAATCCATAGAACGGGTCGGGAAATAGACGCAGTCCTATGTATCCAACAACTAGACATAAAGTTTGTTATCCTTTTTTTTGATACCTTGAATTTTTGAGTTATCATTTTCTTTTCTTTTATGCATATTTGTGCGGTGTCACCCCCGTTTGAACCCGATTTGCATTACGGCCCCAACTACTGATTGATCTCGTCTGCATAAGATCAATTCACAACGTGAGTAGGCAGACTGGAGATCAGTGCAGTTACTTTGGTAACCAGGCGTTGGAAGCGAGTTGGGAACGACGAGGCTGATATCGAATCTAACCAGATTCCCATCCGAATCACAAAAAGGTTAGAACGTCACATTTGGGTGCCGCGACCGATATCAAGCCAGTTGGTCGTCACAGGACGAGACAACACGACTGACGTGCCAGGCGGACGTCACGTTTGGAGCGGCGACACCCGAACGGAGCAGCGAGTAGCGAGCGAAGGCTGCGTTTAAGGACGTCGCAGCTGACGCCGCGACCAAAGGACGTCACACCTCTCCAGTATCATTTTATCTTCTACCTTTAAAATAGCCAGATCAAGCCAAAAATGGAGTCACATTTGGGCGGGTGCTGGGCGGGTGCTGCCCAGCCCTCACTTTTCATTCTTGAAAGAGTTCACAAGCGTCTCCGAATCCTTGTTGGTGAAGAATTATTTTCCACCTTCCAAACTTTCTCTCACAGGCGGGATGTGTCGAGTCTCTAACTGCTTTATCGCTACTACCATGGAAAGTGCTCGGAAGAACTACATTCCTTGGTTCCGTCAGGCCTAACCTTCACAGCTCGGAAACGACATGCCACTTACAAAGTAGCAAATCAACCACATTCCCCCCATATTTCACTCAAACAGCTTCTACCCGCGAATCACGGCCCTGCAGAACAAACACCCAAGAGGATATTTCCCCGATCATTGCAATCTTAACCTGTTCTCGTCTAGAACTAACAGTTATCTTCCCTTCTTACCCATATAAAATTACCCTAAACGTAATCTTCTACCTTGAGTGGCTTCCGGGCCTTGTGAAACTTGCTGTAAAAATGAAAATATAAAAAATAAGCAGCTCCAAGTAATATTTGTCTCGTTAATATTTCTTCTTGTCATTCATTTCCACAAGCTGGTTAAGTCTGTTGATCGATGATTTACTCTCCTACACACACGTAGATAACTATAAATGTCAAATTATCCAAGACCTCTTCCGTCGCTGTGCGTCCAAGAAATTTCAACTGTCTCTTTCCGTTTCTAAATGTCTATTTTGTTTCCATTGTTGCCCACACGCTATGACCATGGTATTCCCAGCATATTTCTCACCCTTTTTGTCTCAAGTCTTTTCTTCATCTGTGAGGATATTGTCCAGAATTTACTGCCTTATAAGAGAAATGATATTCCATACAAATTTAGCACGCTTTTCTTAGTTTATAACGATGCAGTAGTGTAATATTGTGACTCGAACTGAGGAATAGTGAGCCAAGTTCGAATTCTAGTCAAGTTCATTACATTGTACTTACTTATCCTTGGCAAAATAATGAATCCAACTTTTCTCCTCCCCCCAACTATGGGTAAATAGTAGGACAGACCTGGTTCTATAGTCTTGGATGGTAACCGGTCGAGGAAAAATAAAAGTTTAAATTCAAAACACTATGTATCCCTGGCAGATAATATGCAACTAAGTAAAAGATCGTTCGCATTGACTCGATCATCTCGACTATGGTCGATTCTTATTATTTTGTTTAAGTTATGGAAGGCATCGTTCGTTATTCAAGATTGCTGTCTATCCTTGTTTTATTTTGAAGCCTCCTCTTCTCATCTTGGTCTATCCCTCGTGCTAACAATCATATTTTGTCTTCTTAGAATTGTGTAGGTAACCTTTTTTTTTTCTCGATTTCACTTATTAACATGTCTAGGAGATCCTGCCATCTACACAATGGCCTCTGAGTATCATATACTGACAAGATTGTGCCCAGCAATAATAAACCCTGGTAGAAATTCTAGATTTCTTCGGGTTACTTCTTTGTAAATGTTAAATCCAATGAAAAGACGGCCTTTTCGATTTTTGTGTACTTAACTTACTCAAGTGAGACCATTTTCCATCTGAAAGCACCTGAGAATTTCGAACACACCCAAGAAGGACAAGACAGTATGAAATGTTAACCTTTTTAATTGTGCATTTTAAAAATCTAATAAATAATATTAATTGTGAAATTTTAAAATATCGAATATGGAATAAAGGACTACGAAAAGGCCACAGGCCGGAATAGAGGAAAGGTGTTTAGCCCACACAGCTCAGGATCCCACGGCTACTTTGTGTTTATCTGCGTATAAGTGAGCAGAGTTCAAAATAATTAAGTTTTGTTTGCTTTATGCTGAGTTTATTTTTTTTTTACCTCATATCATTTCTGAACGTAGGTGAAATTAATCCCAAACTAAATTAATTTAAATATTAATTATATTATATGTTTTTAATTCAACATCATTTACTCACATTTATTTATTAGACATTAAATTACGTCACTTAGCATCCTCCATAATTTACCTAAACTTTTCAGTTAAATTGATATATAATTATTTGGGTTTCTTAAATTTAAAAATTTTGAAAAAAAAAAACAAAAAAAAACACTTTTTTTATTTTTATTTATCAATCCAGAGATAAAGTACCATACGTGATACACTCTGCGACAATCATGTCTCTTTCGATTCATGACCGACTCGGCAGAATATTTTCCCTCAGTAGGTTGCTATTTCTTTCTGCGGTAGACTGTTTGCCAGCCAAGTTTAGAAGACTAAGCCTGTCCAGCTATTCAAACCACAGCTGGAAGAAGAGAGATGGATTCATATCTTTCTCAAGTTCGTAAGTAAATGTTTATCACTATTTACTGAAAAATAAAATCCTTATATCGGTTAAGATAAGTTTTCCATTTGTTTTTATTCATTGGTGATCATTTTGATATGAATAATCAAGAGTCGCCTCCCCTCGTTTTGTTACTCTCCTCTTTGAGAGAGCTATTTCTGTTTACTGGGACTATAAAAGGACACTATACGCGAACCTTGTGTTCTCAGGTGAATTAAAGCTTTCTTAAAGCCTACACCGGCGTACTTTTGCCATTACACATGTTTCTTCAAGATTTCCTTTATCAGTAAACAGCCAGATGTTTTTGGTAAAGAATATCTAATATTTTCCCGTTGCCTTCACTACAAATTAGAAATGCATTTCCCTAGCTTCTTCTCAAGGCTAGGAAATCTTGTTAACTCAACTTTTTAACCCATCGCTTGTAATAATGAATACATGCTTTTGCAGGGGAATTCGTGCAGAAGTCAACGTAAGAGAGTAACTCGAAATTTGAACCCGGTCCGACAATTTCGTTTTCCGCGCTGATCCCTATAACGCTATCAGCATAGTCTTCCAACCGAGATAAGTTTAGTAAACTACAACACGGTGATTAGCACGACGGTTTCGCTGACCATTTACCGGGTGCAGTAACTTTGACCCGAGCCGGATTACTCCATTCTACACGAAGTACATTTTAGACACTTATTGGCTCTTTATTTTTATAAAATATATTTTTATATGTCATTTCAGAACATAGGTGAAATAATTCCCAAACTAAAATAATTTTAATATTAATTACATTATTATTATTTTTTTAAATTCAACAACATCATATACTGAATTTTATTTATTAGGTTGTCCCAAAAGTTCGTAAACACTTGCGAAAAATTGAATTTTTATGCAATTTTTAATTGTTTTTTTTTTTTACTTTATTGTTAATTTTGATAATTTTGAAAAAAAATTATTTCATTAAAATTTTTATTTAATTGATTTTTACGTTTATAAGCGATGGATTCAGAAAGGGCAAGAGTCACCGTCGATTCCAAAACAAGATCGATTTGGCAAAAAAGTCATGTTGTGCGTTTGGTGGAACTTTGAAGGAATCGTGCATTTTGAGTTGGTTCCGAATGGTCGTGCCATCAGTGCCGAACTTTACTGTCCGCAACTGGAGCGGGTCTACGAAAAGTTGAAGCAAAAGTACCCAGCTCTGATCAACCGAAAGCGCGCTTTGATGCAGCAGGACAATGCCAAGCCACACACCGCCAGGAAGACCAAAGACAAGTTTGAAGAGCTGGACGTCGTTGAGGTTCTGCCACATCCAGCCTACAGTCCTGAATCTGCTCCATCAGATTACGGCCTTTTCCGCTCAATGCAACACTTTCTGAAGGGCCGTCGATTCGACTCGTTTGATGAAGTCGAGGAAGCATGTCAAGAATTCTTTGATTCGAAGCCGGCTGAATGGTACTTTCACCAGATCCGAAAGCTTGCAGATCGATGGCAGAAAGTCTTGGAAAATGATGGTCTTTATTCTGAGGAATAATTTTTGTTGTTTTTGTTATTACTTGGCGAGTAAAATTTCAATTTTTTGCAAGTGTTTACGAACTTTTCGGACAACCCAATATTAGACATTAAATTACGTTACGTAGCATCCTCCATAATCCACAAGACGGGATGTGGCACAAGGCCGTTTTTTTTTGTAGGCCCGGGCAGAAATTCCCCGTGGACCCCATATACACGGGGTCGGGTAGCTATCTATCTCATCAGACAAGATTCTGTTCTTTGGTATAGCCTCGTCAGGGTTCCTCTGTCTGGGTTGTCAAGCAGTATTCGCAAACGCAGATGTTTGGGAAACACTGTGCGTTTTAGCAAACACGTCCAGTTTGACCTTGCAAACGCTAAATCCTGAGCAGGATGAAATGGGCCACAATGATGGCCTTGTGCCAGACCAAACTTTAGATACCGATTTGGACCTTTGCAGCTGTACCAAATTTAACAATTACTGGTTTCTGTGCCAACAGCCGTTAAAATAGTGAAAATGTCACTTGTTTGCGGAAAAGACGTTAACAGATAACTAGATTTCTTTCGTCTAGTTTAAGGATTCTTGTGAGAATTTCGACTTTAAAAATGTATCAGAGTTTGGGGCAAAATGCTCGTACCAAGTTCTTAATGTGGTTACCGAATTACATGACAGAATCGCAAGACGTAAGCAAATTTTAAGCGATGCTTGGTAGTCATTAATACATATCTAAAAAGTGTGCTTTCCGCAACGGCATGAAACGTCTTCTTCTCTTCTTCCTTCGTCTCCCAAAACCATTGCCATTCACATGCTTCTGTACTCTTTGACCTTGCCCCTACGTTAACCACTTCCATCACATTATCCCGCCTGTATGAATGGCTTCGCTGCTACCGCCGCTAACATAACCGTTCACCGTTGCGAAGATACGACAACCAAGTTACTTCCTGATTTCTTCTGTTTCTCTTTCAATTTTTTTTTCTTTTGCTGACTCATTATCTTTCCGCTTTTCTTTTTTTTTCTTTTTCCTTTTTTCTTATACTGTTCTTTCTTCGCGTCTTTATTTTGTTCTCATCGATCGGATTCTACAACTTCAATATTTTTTTTTCTTTTTTTCTTCATCTCGTTTTTTTTCTCTCTCTCGCGTTTCTTATTATTTTTCTCTTTTTACATTTTTTCCAATTTTTTACTCATTCTTCTCTCTGTCGTTATTCGATAATATCTCACCTGCTTTTTCTTCGCTTCCATTTCAGTCTAAGCTTTCTTTATTTGTTTTGATTTCACTTATCCACACTCTTATCTGTCATCATTTTCCTTTCTTTCTTTCTTTCTTTGCGACATTAAAGACAGTTAAGATTTCGTTAAAACTGAACAATCATTTCTTGCTTTCTTCATTTTTTTATTTATCTATTTCTATTTGTATTTCTTTATTTCCTTTATTTCTTTCTTTCAGTTTTGATTTCACTTTTCAACACTCTTATCTGACATCTTTGTTTCTTTCTTTGTTTCTTTCATTCTTTCTTTCTTTCTTTCAATCCATTCTTTTTTCTTTCTTTCTTTCTTTCTTTTTTTCTTTCT